GTGGGAAGTTTTAATTGCTGAGCCAGCTCTTGGGAAAGACCTGACATTCTATAATATATAGGTCAGAGGACCTTGTGAACTGTGAAGGTAATGATAACACGTTTCAACAGGGAATGCAATGAGACATGAGGTAATGCTAAATCTGGTGCTAACTGGGAGGCATTTACTAAAAACCTAGAAGAGAAATCTTGGTGCCCCTTCTGCATGAACTGAGTACTAAGAAAGGTATTTTCCATCTCTCTTCAGGGAAACAACCTTATCTTCAATTAAAAAGACTGAGAAAACAGCATTTCAAAATACACTGAATAGTACGTCCTAAAGGCTAACCTGGAGGAAATACATGGAAAATAATTCCAGTGCTAAAGAGAAACAAGTGGGTCAAAAAAAGTGGCTCCTCTGGCTCTTGGCATGAAGTGAGCTCATTTCTTAAGTGAGACCAAAAAAAATGAGAGAGGAAACAAAAAAGTTACAAAGTCTGAGTATGTGCTGGAGGTAAAATATTATAAGGTATAAAGTTAAGGAAACAAACAGTAAGGTTTTTGTTTTGCTTTTAGCTTGAAAGAGTAATGGGAAACAAGTATATGTTTTTATAAACATAACCAAAGAAAATACAGGGGAGAGAATGGGTCTATTGTTGAGCCAGGCAGGGGATCACATAACAAGAATCCAGACGGATAAAGCACTCAGTAGTTATTTCTCTATGTGTTCTGTACAAAGCACACAGAAATAATTAGGCAGGAGATAAAATTCATGATCTAGATAAGCCTCAAAAACAAAAACAAAAACAAACAAAAAAAAGAAATGTGGAAGGATAACCATTTAATCAATGCACCAAACTCTTTATACAGCAAACATCCACTGAAGTTAGCTGAATTAAACAAGGGATAAATTTAGCATACATTTTATAACTCAGTAAGACCAAATGAGATGCACAGAAGGGATCTAAAGAAACCATATATACACACAGACCATAAAATGCCGTTGAGCAGTCTTGAAGCTCATATGGAACTGGCAAGACACCAGCAGTGCGGAGAAAAACAGTTTGTAGAAAATAGGTACAACATCAGGATGGGGTAAGAGGTAACATTAGGAAATTCCAATCAATTGTTTTATTAGAGGAAGTAAAATACATGCCATAAAACAGCATGATGACAAAAAGAGGTTCAATAAAGAATGATTCTGCCCGGAGAAATCGCACTGCTTTCCAAACATACAACTCTTGATAGAATTCATTCTAGATTAATTAAGCAGTCTTTACTGTAGCATTACGAACATCCATGAAAGAGCATGATCGCCCCACAAAACCAGAGAAGAATGGGCATGTCCCAGGTCATAGTCTGAGCTCATCTCCCCTGGTAAGAATTTGGAGAACAGTCATTGACCGCCACAGATTGAGCTTAGCACAGCTGGAAGCCAAGCCTTGGACCCTATCCCTGCACAGTGCGAACTAACGCTCTTAGGAAAGGTGCTAACGTAGCATACAGGGATAATGACCTTCTCAGCTTGTCTTGGAAAGCAAAGCTGTACAGTGTGCCCTGCACACTAGTTCTCATGCTGGAGGAAGGCAGCTGGTCGGAGGAGCCAGTGGGAGGATTGATTTGGATGAACTCAGCACAGAATGCCGAGTGCCGACTCTCTCTGCTGGAGATCAGCATGACTAATGGGAACGTGCCCAGAGACATTCGCTCAGCTACACGAACCATCCAGCCCCATCTTCTGCTGGTGTGGCCACTGTGAGCTTAATGAACCCACTTATATCGACAACGGAAGTAAACTAGGCAATTGGCTCTCTTTAAAAAATGTATGTGTACACATACACAATTTTTTAATTTTTAATTGAAATTTTTTCCTGCAGAACCTCTGTATCTCCCACTGTTACAAATGCTACAAATGCTCATGTTACAAATGCTATATCACTGTTTTTACCAAAAGGTCTTGAAGACCAGAAGCAGCACGTAAATATCTTGATCACATTTACAAATGGCACCGACCAGTATTTGATCACAGGAAGAGGGCTGATATGCATCTGCTTCAGCCCTCTCCACTTAGGGCCTAATAAGAAAATGCATTTTGCTTTGATGAGTGCTGAGGATGTTACCAGGCAGATGAGCATGACCATGACCAGCACAGTGGAAGATTGAGAGCAACCACGTAGCAACCTTGCAGCCCAGTGGCAACACGCACACTCAGGAAGAAGCCTTCATTTGGACAAAATGTACAGCAATAGAGGTGAAACTCATACGCAGCAGAAACACAAAGCAGCCCTCCCTTAAGGATCCAAAACACAAAAGGGGCAATTGCAAGGGGCTTGCGGGGCTCTGCAGCTGCAAGACAGGGGCTCTGGCAGTAGCTCCCTACAGCTGCCTGCTGAGTGCTTGCTGTCGGAGTGGTCCTGCCTGCCTGAGGCATGGGGAGGTCACAGAGGCACCCGGGGGAGAGACACAGCTGGAGAGGCTGCCAAAATGATCTGCAGATCGAGGAGGCTTGAAGGCTTTGAGGAAATTAGTTCAGGGAAGGAAGAGGAAGTGGAGACAATTTACATGTAATTGAAAAATAGCCGTATGCGGCAGTGAGGATGGATAGAGTGCAAAAGATGGAAACTTGTGAGCAGCTCAGAAGAAAGGCTTGCGCAGGTGGCTGTAAGCCAGCAGCAGACCGCTCGGGCCATGGGGGCTTCTTGCCTCCTACCCAAACAGCTCTGCCCCAGCATTATGCTGCAGAACCACTGTTTATTGCACATCCCTTGTAATGTCCAGTACTCTGTACTTCTGCCCCTCACAAGGAAGGAGCAAGCAGCAGATCTGGCACTGAAACGATGTACCCACTCTGGGGAAAAACTCTGCTCCACAGCTAACATGTGTGGCCTGGAACGCATCCCAGCACCATCCTGATCCTATTCTATGAATGGGTGTGAGTGCCAGGCCTTACCATAGGACGTCACAGGGCGTTTAAACACCCAGCCAGGCCTGCTGCCACAGCTGTAGATCAAAAGGCCCACAGCACGGTGATTCCTGCTTCTTGGAACAGATGCTGGGAGTTTCTCTTGCGTGCTTTGTGTTTTTGGAGTCAGTTCACCTTGTCGAGACAGGAACAGAAGAACAAGTTTATTCAGGCTCACTCAGCCTGTCTGGAGTTCATGGCCCTCGTGAAAATACCATTTTTTTCTTTTGCTCTCACCACTCAGAGGTGACAGGCATTTCCAGACAGGATTTCCAGGATATCTGCATTTAACCTGACTTTCAATTTGTGTCTCTCCTGAAACTACGTATGGTGCAGGAACAGCACTGTCATGAAGGCTTATTGTGGTGCTGGCACAAGCTGACCAATGAAATGCAGGGTTTGTACATTTTTGAGAAACTCTCCCAGTGATCCGTTCTCAGTGACAGGTTTGTCACCAAAAAATAAACAGCATTTCAAGAGCTTTTATCATCCCTGTTTGGCCTGTGCCAGAATTGGCCACTTTTTGGCTGCCAACACAAATTTGCCCCCCATCTGCCAGGCCTCCCTGCAGCACCCGTGCCCCAGTGACTCCCCTCCAGCAGTACACAGCCAGAGCGACTTGGGAAGACCTGCAGAAAGGCAACTGATTTCCAACTGCTGTATCAGCAACTTGGAGGATAAGCCTGGTGCCAGGTGGCTTAGCCAGAGATTATCACAAGTTGTACAGCTTCCCACATCTCTCTTAAACTACCTTTCTCTTTCCTTGCTGAGCCTCCTTCTCCAGAAGCAGAGGTTGAGTGTCCTTTCCTGGAAAGCCAGGCTTGGACATTGATGCCAGACTTCTCACCAGAAGACGCTGGACACAGCACAGGCTTCTGCAGGACTTCACTGAACAACGCCACCAAAAGCCCAGTCCTTTAGTGGCAGTAAGGGTAAGCCTTGCCACTGGCCATGCCACCAGCAGTGCACCATAGGAGCCTTCACACCTCACCATGACTCAGTATTTTGTAGTTTCCCTGTGCACCAGGCTGCCGGTGGGTCTTGTACGTCACTGAACTGGGAAAGCAGAGTGCTGAGAGGAAGGGAAAGACTTTGGAAATACTGTTTTAAGAGCTTCAGGCCTGTATCAGTATCTTCTAGTGACAGTACATGGACTTAGTCAAGATGATTGCTGTAGATTTCCCTTAATATTCTCTTAGTCATCTGCATGGTTCGATTATGTTTGGAACTAATTTGGTAAACAATACATCTTTGGCAACCACAAAGCACAGAATTAAGTTGAGGAGACCAAAATGCAAATCCTGGGCTGTTTGCATCTTGCATCTCCTCCACTAGCAACACAGTGGTAATTTCCTTCATCTCTTAATCCCCTGTGCAAGTAGGATGTTAAGACATGTTAACAGTTTAAATCTAACTGACATAGCCAAGCTCAGCAGATCTAGCTCACTTGATTAAGTTTTGTAGTACCCATTAGGAAAGAAATTTGGTGGCTCCTCTGCTGATCCCAGCACAACATGAATTTCAGCCCAGCTGGAACTTGAGATAGAGCAGCTCCCAAGAGAAAACTGAGCCAACTTGGCCATCAGAAGCCGAATTGTGAAAGCGAAAAGCTGCAAAACGCTACAGACAAATTTCATGCCATCCTAAAGTGGCAGAACCGATAGCATTTAAGAAGCCAACTATTTCCAGCATCACTGATAGGAACACAGAAATTAAAATACCAGCTCCATCCACTTGGTTGGCTTACCCACATGGCCAAGGCAATTATCTACACTCATTTCACCTCTCTGCTCAACGGAAAAAGGACAGATTTGGAAGGAAAGATGGAAAATTCTGCTTACAAAAGAACAACACTTCTTCCACAATGTTTAAAAATGTTTATGTTATCCCAAGAGGGTATAAGAGAGTATGATCATAGGCCATACTAAACTGTTCCACCTCGTAATAGAAAATCACCACAGCACAGAACCAGTACAGGGTATATCAATCGCTCAGTGGGATACCGGAGACATCAGAGTGTTCTGAGGCATCATGGCACACTGGGGACAGGCTGCTGCAGCAATTTCAGAAAACTTCAGAGGTTTAAAAGAAAAAGTATGTGACTAAATGCTCCCTTTCCTATTGCTGTTTGCATATTGCTAAAGGGACAGTTCAATTTTTAAAGCACTTTGCAGGTCGCCTTTAGGAATTCATCATGTATTCCCACACTTGCTTCCTATTTCCTAGCTATCCTTTCAAGCTAAATAGGATTGTACTGCACGGCCTGGTGTTCCCAGCTTTTCTTTGCATTGGGTTATGAATGACAGCAAGATCATTTATCCCTAATTCTCCGTATCTCGCATTTTTAAAGCTGGGGAAGCTTGTAACATTGGGAAAAATAGTAAAGAAGAGATGGATGTTCACATCTAATTCAAAATAACCACCATCCTCTGGCAGATGCCTACCCTACAGACAATACAGATGGAGCACCAGAGCCCACCAGCAGCATGACTATTCCTAATTAGCAACAAACAGAAATGAGAATGCATGGAATGGGGCTGCCTGCGCCTGTACGCAGTAATTAGTAACATGCTACATCATATGTGGTATGTGACATTAAGGGAGGAGGGAGATTACGCCTCCTGACAAAACACAGAGATTAAGCCGTTAATTCCAAGGATGCCTCATAATGCTAATCGAAGAACGACAAAGCTGGATATCGTATCTGAGGCAAAAACCCCAAAGCAACCCCATTACTGCCAGCAGACTGTATTTTAAATGAAACCTCACAGTTCTGATTTAGAAGTAAAGCAGAACTCTCACAAAGAAGCCTCTCCCTAGGGGTGCTGCTTTGTACTTTTGTTATGAAGGTATCAAGCACAGATGCGGGCAGAAGGCCTTGTTGCAGCATGCCTTTGAGAAGCACCAGCAGAAGGGACACTGCTAAGGGTGTGCTAGGAAACAAGCTGCTGGTATTGCTGCCAGTCAGAGGCACTGCAGAGCTCCCTTCATTGCAAAACAATGGAGAGCACTTCTATATCCCATCTTCACCTGGCGTAACTTGGTCTTTGCTGTCGCCTCCGTTACTTAAATGTTGAAGAAAGAGACTGGTGATGGGAAGAGCATTCACTCAGAGCTGTCTGCCTCTGAGAACCCATCTTTCTTATTTTTGTGTAGCATGTGCATGGGTAAAAATAGGCAAATGACCTTGATAGCAGATGAAATACTCAAACGCTGAGCAGATTTCTGCAGTCTTCCTGGGCACTGTGTAAATAGGATCCTTCCCTCTAGGCACCTATAACAGGAGTGGGAGGAGAGCAATGGTTCTAACTATGGTGCTTTAGGGTGATCACATCACAGAATCATAGAATCGCTTGAGTTGGAAGAGACCCTTAAAGGCCACCTAGTCCAACTCCCTTGCAATGAATGGGAATGCTTACAGCTCAACCAGGCCGCTCAGAGCCTCATCCATTATAAATGAGAGGAAGAGTCCATCCTCCTTCTGTGTTTCAGTCTTAAAATCCACCTAGACATTAGTTTACTGATAAGAACAGGAGGAGTGAACGAGGTTGGCTTCCTTCACAGGAAGGGCAGAATAGATCAATCGCCCAGTGGAGTTCCCTATCATGTACTGAATTGCAGCTGCAGACACTTCTAGTCGGCCCGACATCATCACAGTAAGAAATATGGAACGATGAGACTTGAGGTTTGACCACTACTCGAAGAGGAGTGAGACAGAGAGGAAAGCTTTGCTTTCCAGCCTTGCTACAGCACATGCCCGCTGGGCTCAGTCAGTGCTGGGTCACAGATGAGATCTAAAAGTGGCATCAGAGCTCACTCTATGAATTCAGCAAGCGCTGCTGTCTCAGGTATATTATTTGCTCTTCTCTGCTTCCTTTTCTTTACAGATAACAAAAGCAATGGACATCTATGATAATTAAAAAAGCAATTACAGACACATCACTGAAATGCCACAGTTACTCCAGACTCCAGACTCATAGCAGACCCTAACCACTTGCTGATGATTGCTTTTCCTACAGTCTTGGCTCTCCCTGTTCCTGCTGAATCTGTTACAGAGCACATCCTGCAAGGTGCTGGAGGGGCACAGTGCCTCAGGTACCACCAACGCCTTGTGAACCATGCAGGCAGATGCTGAGCCAGGTTTCCAAACGTGGGCAGCCCAGACAGAGCCAGACTTGTACAGCTAACCACCACACACATTTCTTTGAAGCGTATCAACAGCTGGCCATGCTGAAGGCATGATGTGTGACATTTCCTTCCTGCATTTTGAGGGGATTCTGGAAGCTGCTTGCTGTGTTGTTCCTGAGCAGTCAGAACTAAAACTGAATTTGGCTGGTCACTCAGTTCTCCGAGTTCTCACAGCGCTCCTGGTTAGATGCATTTTCTCTTCCTTAGGCATGTGCAATTCCAGCTGCTTTGCCTCACAGCAGACAGCAATCAAACAAATGCGGTCATTTAAATCTCAGGCAAATTCAGATCGATACAGTGCAAACACACACACTCTTTACAGACATATGCTCTTTCCAGCAACTTTTATGACTCTCTGGAGGGGAAGAATCATTTTTTGGTTTTGCTTCTTTCTGAAGCAACAAACAAACAGGCACTGATCCTGATGCCCAAATGATGTCTTCTCAGGAGAGCTAAGTTATTCGTGTAGCTGTCTTTCTTCTGAATATATCTTCGCCAGCAGTGTTGAATAGACCTCGGAAATTCAATGTATGCATGCAGAAACAGAGCAGGCAATGTCCCGTGTTCCCACAGCAATGCAATCACTACTCCTGTGGGGATCTGTCCTTCTTTGCCACTTCCTTTAAGCATTTCCTCCTCTCTAGAAGCTGCTCAGGTAGGTGCAACACAGCATACAAACGCTTCCCCCATTTCCAGCAAGTTTACACATTTACTTCTCACAAGTCAGAGAACATTTCTGGCTTTTTACTGTTTTTATTTAAGAGCCTGGAGAACAACATAAATCCCTCCTTCCTTTTCTGGAGGAGCCAACAGCACTCGTTAAGCCTTCTCGTTCCCTCTGCTGCCATAAAAAGGTGCGGAGTTTCTGAGTGTGATCAGCTGCTGCGCAGAGGCTCTGCTGTGGTCCTGGCAACAATTCAGCACTCAAGAACCTCCGGGGGAGCCTCCAGGGCTGCTGAGCCAAGGTGGGAGCCAGCAGTGGCTCCGAAGGTCACCCTGAGAAGCTGCCAGAGCCCCTCTGCTTTGGCTCCGGTTCTTTGGAAATTGCGAGGCTTTGTAGCCGACTGGTTCACAGTGCACGGGTTGGAAAGGAGCAGTCTGTCTCTGCAAGGAGGATCAAGGAGACAAAGCTCTTAAGACTTTGCACTCTGCGAACGCTCCCCTCGAATGCTTTAAAGCTGAGCATCCTGCTAACAAAGATAGAAATGAGGCACCAACAGGGGCAACCCAGCTGGGGAAAGAGGAATTTCCAGCCACAGAGCTGCCTGAAGTTGGGCACTGCTTCCAGGTACATCAGGCCCCCACCTAAGGAAAGAGCAGCAAGCAGATCACAGCTATACAGATACTGCACACCTTCCACCTGGCAGGGACCAGGGGTGGAGCAGGGGCACGGAGCCAGGCTGGGCATGCCAGGAGATGTGGCATTTCCATATGTGAAGGCAGCACCCACTCCTGCTTTACATCCCTTTCAGCTCAGTCTGAGGCACAGCTGCAATGCACCGGTTCCAGTGAGCACAGCCTGGGTTTTCCCATCCCTTCCAGCTTCCCAAGAGTCAGCGAAAAGAGCTCCCAAACTCAGGCAGTTGAAGCGACACTAGAATGCAGGCATCATATGTGTTAGTGCCACAACTGCCTACAGCTGCACCTACCTCAGAGTGCTCTCTTGCTTTAAGCAAGGTGACTGCAAACCTCAATATCCTCAGAATACAATATACGCTACAAGTACAGGGTTCATTTGTGTGTGCTCAAGGGAGCTGGTTCTTCCCAACGCTGCATTTACGCATGTAAAACAGAGACAAGCTCTGGGCTAGCTGACAGCTTACCCAGTACCCCCAGGCAGCAGGGCTGCCAGGAACCACTCCGTGTCAGAGAATCACGTGCATCAGACAACCAGACGGCAACAGGCTATGGCATATCTGCTAGATCTGGATCGCATCCTTGAAGCTGCCTTCACAAGCGGGTAGCATGCCAAAGCTGTGGCATAATAAGCACTAACATCTCATGTCAGACACTCATTTTGTGGTGGCTGGAGTGTGTGCCTTCCGAGGGCTGCCTCCATTAGCAACGGCGCTTGAAACATAAAGACCTGTATCGCTGAAAATTGTTTAAGAGGAGGGAAGTGCTACATGAAAGCTCAAATATAAAAAGATGGGTTTTTGGCCAAAAAGCGTGCTCCAGTAGTAGAAACCGCAGTAAAACACTGTGATTTACAGAAGGATGGATGGATGTTTTCTAGGTCAACACTCCACAACTGGTGGAGATACCAGCTCACAGACTCATTCGTTGCGTTGGTTTTTTTTGTTTGTTCGTTTCACTGACTTCAGAAGAACTTTTCCATTCCCAAAGCACCAGAAGACCCAGCTGATAGTACATCTGACCTAAATGGAACCAAAGTAGCTCTCCTTTACAATAACGAGGAAGATCATTGGATATGAGGAAGCAGAAGTTTAAGGAAAGACTTGAGGCCACGAAACCAAATTATGATTTCATTACAAACTGCTGAGTTTTAAGCTTGGACCAACAGCTTGAAATCTATAGACTGGGGAAGGGAGAAATCAAGTATTTCCACGCTCCTCTGTAATTTGAAACCACTGAGACATATCTCAGGGTATAAATCATACAGCTCTAAAAATAACATAAATTCTGTTTTTGTACTCTTTGGAAGAAAGCTGCCATCAAATTAATGTAGCAAATGCAAGAAAAAATAAGCACGGCTTGTTCCGATGGCCAAGCACATCAGAAGCTCTCCCTTGTCCCAAGGGAGGAAAGTGCCACCAGTTGGCTATGCCTTTTGGGTCTCATGGTACAGGTAGCCTATAATAAGCCAAATGTCTGTCTGTGTCTTCAGGTAATGAGGGAAATGTTTATTCACAGAAAGTGCCACCAGCAAAGTTCCAAAGAACTCTCACTTAATTACACGGGAAATCTTCCCAGAAAGTCCCAATCCCACGTTCTCATCACACGGACATCTCTGACTGCCTCTCTGTGCTACATAAAAGGAAACAAAGTGTCCTACTTTTAAATTCACACTGTCACTTCTGTGAACTGAAGTTATGACCTCTCTCTGACACAGTCTTTTTAAAACAAAGCTGCTACATACATGTGAAAAAGCAGATAAAACAGCTACCACAAAATACCTAGTTTTGTATAAATAAGTTATCCACTGCGGCAAAAAGATCAGATAAACAGTGTTGAAAGTAAGTGGTTATGAAATGACTGAATGTATCATTTCAGCTCTTTTGAAACAAACTAAAAGACAAAACTGAATAATTCTTTCATTTTATAATCGGAGAAAGGAAACAACTTCTAGCAGACAACTGTCACTTAAAATCTCATCAGAAACATACTGTTCAGTTTCAAAGCGGGGACAAGGGTACACTATAAAGTGCTTTAAGAAATGTATTCCCTCCTATTCTGTATCTCCTCTTTCAATAGTACACAGCAAAGAAATCAGGACACATCTCTGAGCCCGCTGATACAAAAACAGTGCAAGCTGTGCCTGCCAAACGTACCGAGATCCTTAGGGGTGCTTTCAACCACTGCTTGGAGCCAGAGCTGCAGCTGTAATTCTCCATCTTCTGTATGTGAAGCATGACCGTTAAGTAAGTTTACAAGAAACATGAATGAGCACATGAAGACCATTTCTCAAAAACCTTGCAAAATGGGAAGTTGCATTTCTTACCTAGTTTTTAAGAAAATGAGATTTCTGCAGTTCTTTGTGCCTGCCAGTCCCTCCGCCAGCAGCCTTCCATATTATTCACAGGCAGCTTTCATCCAATTCTTTGCAAGCACGATGACCCAAAAGATGGGCCACCGATAACCGTGTTTCTGCAAAGAGTATGAAAACCAAAGATCCAGAAGAGACCATGACATTTCCTCCCATAGAGCATAATGCTGACAGCCAGCCGAAGCTTCATCAAGGATCAGAGAAGCGACACAAAGATGACTGAAAGATGGGTAAAATCTTTCATCGGTGTAACCCAGATGCAGAGATCTCTTTGCCCCTCCACCTCTGGGTTTTGGCCACAACAGCAAATTACTCACAGAACAAAGCCAAGTTTACCCACAGTCTCAAAACGGCCACTGTGATCTAGTGAAGAGATGCTGTCTCACTTCTCACAGGACACAGCATTTGGGCAGGCACCAGCTAGCAGTGCTGGTGGAGGTCCGTCACCTTCCTGCCAAGACTTCCCACAACCCCCACAGTCCCAACTGGGGAAAAAAATAAAAAAATAAAAAAATAAATAAAGGTAAAAAGGTGAAAATACTTGAACTGTAAAATCACTGAGATTGGAAAGACCTCTAAGATCAGCTAGTCCAGCTATCAGCCCATCCTCACCATGCCCACTGACCACGTCCCTCAGTGCCACATCCACACAGTTCTGCAACACCTCCAGGGACGGTGACTTTCCCAGGCAGCTTGTGCCACTGCAGCACCACTCTTTCTGAGAAGAAATGTTTCCTAATATCCAACCTGAGCCTCCCTGGCACAACTGGAGGCCTAATGAAGTTTGCAGGAAGGCACAGTGCAGAGGCCTGAGCACCAACCAACCTCTAACATGCCACTAACCCAATGAACAGAGAAACCCACTCCCATCATTTTCAATTAATGAGCCTTTTTTTTTTTAATTTTTCTGCAGATGGTCCCAACAGTACAGGGAAAAGGCACGAGCTTCCTTGTTAGATTGGTTAAGCTCAAATGCCCTGCATCCACATTTAACAGAAACTGTTTGCAGCACTAAATTCCAAGAAAGCCACAATTAATTGTGCTCCAGCATCAGTGAACACACTAGTTACACCATTAGAGCCCATTATTTTTCCTCTAAGACATTACAGTGCTGCATTATTGATGCAACAGTCTGGTGTAATGAAGCAGCACTCTGTGTGCCTCCCACTGATCACTGAGCTCACTGTGCTGCAGCGCTGGTGCCAGATTTAGGGAGGGTTTTTTTTCCAGTAGGTTAAAAATTTCAGAAACAGCACAAAAACAGCTGCACAGAGGTGAAACACCTATCCCTAATCAAACGCAAATGCTTGGGTTTCTATTTGATATAACTCAAAATTGCATTTATTTCTAAGTTCTGTTTCTACAACATCATTTGGACAGACTATTTTCAGAAAGACATTCTAGAGAGATGAAGCTGGAATGCAGTAGATTATCAAGATGCATAAATAGATAATTCTGTGATTTAAGGAAAAAAAACTATATCTAGAGGGTCGACAACAGATAGTTGTAACACAGAGATCACATATGAAAGCCAGTGTCCAAACTGAAGAAGAAAGCCTACAGAAGCTGTTGGACAGATGTAACAAGCCCAGAAAGGTAGATCATCCAATTTTGCATCCCTTACTCATTCATGGAACTATTGAAATGAATGAAGTCGTAGCTGTGAGTCTGTTTGCAGAGTGCCTAGTCAGCAGTGAATGGTAACACAGCATAGAGGAAGGCCAGGAACGCCTGCCATGTGTTGTGCAATGCCTGGGAAGGCCGTCCAAGTGAAGCCTGGGCTAAAACATGAAATAGTACTTCCTCTGCAATATGAGATATTAATATCTTTAGAAATATCCTCCTTCACTTGCATAATCCCAGTCAATTGTTTCCTAGTCCCTTCCTGCAGTACTCAGTTCCTCAAAGCCCCAGTATGTTGCTGAAAGGAGAAGGCTCTTTATAGTTATTTCAAATTTACTCTCAGTTTCATTTAATCTTCTCGCATTCTGCCTCTCTGCAAAATATTAAGCTGGTGATCTGCTTCCCCTCTGCCACTCACTCTTTGCATGGTTCAATCACAGCTTCTCCTAGGAGCCTTCTTTCTGCACCAAATAATGCCACTCCAGTTGACTATCACCGTACTGAAACACTCCCTTTAGGCCCCCAAGGCTTCCATTATCTTTTCTGCTGCTTCTCTATTCTTTTCCTTTCTGGAAATGAGGCTACTGAAACTGAACTAATTACTCCAGGCTCAGAGGATGTTTTATGCAGGTGCTCAACTGTTCCCATTTTTCCTCATGCCAGAGCCAATATTCCTGTACTTACTTCAGTATCTACAACTATTTCATAGTATATCAGTGTAATACCAGCAATGATGCAAACCTTTGCTGGGAACACTGGAACCCATCCACACGACTGCTCCTCAAGCCATGATCAACACCAGAAAAACTACTAATTCCTCATTTTCTCAACTCTTTTTCTTTACATTGCTGTCTTTACCCCAAAAATGTATGTTTCCATTGAATCACAAAATCATTAAGCTTGGAAGAGACCCAAAGATCACCCAGTCCAACCGCCAACCCACCCCCACCATGCTCACTAACCACGTCCCTCAGTCCATGCGGTTCTTGGACAGACCTCCAGGGATGGCGACTCCACCACCTCCCTGGGCAGCCTGTGCCACTGCAGCACCACTCTTTCTGTGAAGAAATGGTTCCTAATATCCAACTTGAACCTCCCCTGGTGCAGTCTCTGGACATACTCCAGGGCCTCGATGTCTTTCTTGTAGTGAAGGGCCCAAAACTGAACACAGTAACTGAGGTGTGGCCTCACCAGTGCCAAGTACAGAGGGCCTCCCTAGTCCTGCTGACCATGCTATTTCCATCCACCTCGGAGCCTGTCAGACCAAAAAAAGGCATAAATCCCAATCCTAGAGACTCCATGCCATCATCACCTTATCATTCCAGCCAAGGGACGTCTCATCACCACTGCTGGGAGTTGCAACACACGTTGCACAAGGTGTTCATGCAGCTCCTTCCCATGTTATAGCAGCCAGATTTACAGCCAGATTTGCAGTTTGGGTGTTGCTGCGCTGTTTGCATGAGAAGCAACTATTAAGCAGGCAGCAGCGCTCCAGTGAAACTCCAAGGAGTCTCAGAGCATAGCCCTAGGTTGGGCAAATCGGTGTCATCTAATTTCAAGGTGACAGTGGTGAGGGTAATGGCAGCAGGGCCTCTCCCGAAGAGAAGCTCACCATGGCTCCACTTCTCCAGATTACCTGCAATAATGGCCGGAGCCTGAGCATTCAGGGCCAGCCAAAACCTTAGAAAACACTTTATGACTCACCAGCTCCTGTATCACACAGGCACAATCTGTAATTAAAGGTGCCTCTGTAGGACAACACACACCCATCTGATAACGTCCCTCCAGGACCACATGCCCAGCCACTGGTGGTTCCATCCCAGGCCTGTCTTTCCTGTGACCCAGTCAGCAGAGAGGGGCAGGGCCAGCAGACATCGACCTTCCCACCACCGCAGCTCTCCTTGCAGAACCCACCAATTATCCCATGCACACTCAGAATCAATGAACTAAAGAGAGGTGACAGCCTACATCCTTCCTGAAAATCAACGTGACTGTCTGTATGCTTAAGAAGGGTATGCTTTGGTGAGG